GTCTGCGTCTGCGTCTGCGTCTGCGTCTGCGTCTGCGTCTGCGTCTGCGTCTGCGTCTGCGTCTGCGTCTGCGACTGCGTCTGCGTCTGCGTCTGCGTCTGCGTCTGCGTCTGCGTCTGCGTCTGCGTCTGCGTCTGCGTCTGCGTCTGCGTCTGCGTCTGCGTCTGCGTCTGCTGCGTCTGCGTCTGCGTCTGCGTCTGCGTCTGCGTCTGCGTCTGCGTCTGCGTCTGCGTCTGCGTCTGTGTCTGTGTCTGTGTGTGTGTGTCTGTGTCTGTGTCTGTGTCTCTGTCTCTGTCTCTGTCTCTGTCTCTGTCTCTGTCTCTGTCTCTGTCTCTGTCTCTGTCTCTGTCTCTCTCTCTGGCTCTGTCTCTGGCTCTGCACTCTGTCTCTGTCTCTGTGTCTGTCTCTGTCTCTGTCTCTGTCTCTGTCTCTGTCTCTGTCTCTGTCTCTGTCTCTGTCTCTGTCTCTGTCTCTGTCTCTGTCTCTGTCTCTGTCTCTGTCTCTGTCTCTGTCTCTGTCTCTGTTTGTCTGTTTGTCTGTTTGTCTGTTTGTCTGTTTGTCTGTTTGTCAGTTTGTCTGTTTGTCTGTTTGTTTGTTTGTTTGTTTGTTTGTTTTTGTGTGTGTGTGATGGGTGTGTCTTGTGCGTTGTTTGGATATGTGTCAAATAGGGGGTTGAACTCCCAAATGGATTTTGTTTCTTTTTTCCTTCGGTTTCCCTGGCAACCAACTCCAAAGAGCTAGGGTACCAAACTCAAGAAAGAACACCTGCCCAAAACCCTCAATTACAGGCCCGTATCCACAAAGGGCGTGGTCAAAGTGAAATGTCTCTTCAGCGGATTCGCATCTCCCTGGTCAATGGTTGGAGATGTCCCAGGTCGGATCACTTCTTGGAAGAGTATCCCAGAAAATCCGCTGGTCAACACTACCACCTCGGCAAAAAGGAAGATCTCAGCATCATGCCAAGCCGCAAAACATATGCTTCTGATTATACGTACCATCTGAGCCAACCTTGAGCCTAGTAAAAATGGAAATGGTAACAGACACATGTAAATCCCAGGTTTGCTTCCATCCGCTTTAGAATATGCCTTATTTTCTTGGAGCTTATGGAAGTTCAGGGTACGTTTTTAGGCTTGGAGGTTCTTTGTTAGTTTTGGTCCGTTCCTTCGACTTCAAAAGGCGCTGTGCCACAAGTTGCCAGGCATTCCACCAGCTCGAAATCAAATCGCCCCATGGACCAATTTTCCTGCTGGTTTCCCCGAAACAAAAGCAAACGAGGGGTCCCAAAACGCCAAGTACCAACTACAAGAAAAAGACGAGCCCAACATCCCAGGGTTCCACACTCCCTAAGGTAGCCGAGTCCGGGTTTCGGGCGGAAAACGGTAACTAGAAGACCATTTAGAAGTTTTCAGGCAGAACACTTTACCACTGGTGCGATAGGGAATGGCCGAGTCCGGGTTTTGGGAATGAACTGGAAGGGGATTCCCTGAAGGGAAACCGTAGAGGATGGTTTATTGGGGTCACTCCCTCATTCCCTGCTGAGAATTAGCAAGCCGGGTTTTGAGTGCGACTCAAATGCTTGCCCCCGTTCCACAAACAAAGTTTGCGCGCCCCTTCCACTCATGTTTTTCTCCCGTACGCAGGCAACTGGCTCACTAGCCGCTAGTCTTTGAGGGATCTCCTTTTGGATCTTCGCCCTCCAAAATGCCAGAGAAATCTCCTGTTGAATCTCCTTTTGGTAGCAAAAACAAGCCCGAGGGTTGAAGAACTCCATTTCAGTTCGGGGACACGCGGCTTTCCCTCTCGCAGGGCTGGGAGTCGGTGCGGCGGGAGGTGTCCTGGCTGCGGGGGCCCCGCGTCCACTCGCTTGGGCGGTTGGGTGCTACCTGGTTTCATTGGGATAGGCTTTAGGTTCAGAGTCCATGGGTTTGGAACATGATCCCTTCCAGAAATTGGCAAGCGTCAACAAGCAGAAGCATATCGCTGGCAATCACCAGGATGTTGCACGCGCGTGAAACCAGCCTACGGCCAGCGGCAGATCACTTGGACTGATCTGGTGAGACGAGGTGAAAAGGGCAACCATGTTCGTTGTCTGAAAACACACTCATATGAGCAAGGTGCAATTTTACCAGGTCGTTATCTTATCGGTTTAGCAGGCTTGGTTGGGCGCTCTAGCGCTTTTCCGGTTGGGTATCAGTTTTTGGCGGTCCATGTTCTATTGGTTGTGGCTCGGTCCCCCAGCAGTGCCCTTTTACCCTTTTTTGGGTGAGGGTTCCCCAAAAAATAGACTACAGAAAAAGGGTACCCTTATTCTAGCCTCTCTACTGGAGGATCTAGGTGGTAATCCAAAAGGAGACTCGTACTGGCAATGGCGAGCCGAACGGCGATGCTTTGAACGCCTGGCTAGCTGAATTTTGAAAAACCGAAGGACCCCGTTTCAAAGTTACATAGTCACATGGGATAGGAATCCCACTTTGGTAACACGGAAAAGGCTATGTCCTACAACCTGCGCCTGGCCCAGTTGCAGTGCCTTCTTCTTTTGCGGGACTGATGGTCTTGGGATGACAGGGTGTCCCATCGACTTTCCTTGGCTTGTCAATTTTTCAGCCAGCTTCTGAGTTGCTCCAAAACAGTTCGGCTGGTTGTATCGGAGCCGTTTTCGCATGTGGCGAACAGGCCGAAAGACTTTGGGAAGTTTTTGGCATAGGCGCCTTGCAAGTCATTCCGCCACAAAGTCGAACATGTTGACCCCATATCAATCAACCCAGTATATTTATAGGGGGGTGTTCCCCTCCAAACATGATGATTCCCCGACTTCGGCATCGACTTTTGGGTGCTGACTGTCACCCGATTTGCACCTCCGATTCGGGTTTCCATTGTTGGAAAAGTGGCAAAGAGGTGAGATGACCTTTTGATTCAATCAGTCCGTCCAAGGGCACCCTCTAGGGTGTCCCCTTCGTGTTTGGCGGGGTCCCACGAAAAATGGAAAGCCCAAACAGAGTGGGTACCCTTTACTCAGGAAACTGGGTAACTGAGTCCTTTGGGTACAAGTGAGTTTCCCGACACCCACCACACCTTTAACATGAGATCAAGCTCTGATCAAAGGAGGCATTGATGGAAAATCTGGTCCCACATATGGGTGTGGCTCAAAATTAACCAGGAGGGGCAACCCGCAGGTTTTGGTCCATGTGTCCACTTACCAGCAACCCAATCACAGATACTTGGGCGTTTCTTATTTGGGCGACCACCTCTCCCCCAAAACAAAACATGGTCGGTGTTCCTTCCGGTTTTATTTTTGAAACACCAAACAAGGCCATCCTCAAAAAATGACGACACCCCCCATTGAACCAATGCAGAAAAGAAGAAAAAGACATGGTTGGTGTTCCTTAAGGAGACGAGCCGCCCATTTGGAGTGGCGCTTTCGTTTTCTTTTTTGGGACGCTGAAGGTACACCCGCTTCTACACGGCCTTGGTCATGGGCAGCTTGGTCATCTACAACTGCCCGGGGCCCGGGCTCGGCACTTCGAATCCGCGTCGCCGAAAACTCCACTCGGTGGGCTCGGTGTGGGGCCCCTGGTCTCATAAGGGAGTGGAATCTATATATATATATATATGTTTAATATATGTTTTAAGGAATGAATCCCATGAAACACCAGGAGTCTTCAAAATCTACCCTGGGTTGAATTGAGCAAAACTCACGTAGCTGGTGAGGGGGGGTGGTGCCCTTGATAATTGGTCAAAGCCAGGTTCAATGGGCAACTTCTAACTGTTGGGTTGAACACGGTTCGTTTTTCCATGAAGTTTTCGGGTGCAACGACCCACCTAACCAAAATCGATTCCGTCAGAAAGGCAGGTCACCAAAAAAAACCATCTTGAAACTCCGAATGGTTTACACTCACTCAGACTAACATGGAAGCTTCCCAAAGACCGCGGTAGATGGAACCAAGGCTTAAGGGTGGGAGCTTCCATGTTACTTCCCCGGAATTAGCTCCCCTTTTTCCTTTGTTGCTTTCAAAGGGGTGCCCTTTGTTTTCCACTAATGTTTTTGCTGGGGTCCGATTTTTCCAGCCTAGCTTCGTCTGGGTTTCCTCGCGGCCCAAAGCGATTTCGTCTGGGCAACGGTTGATTCGCGAACCCCAAGCGGGGCTTTTGCAAAGCATGAGATTCGTGGCTCAAAAACCCACCGCAAGAACATATTTAATAAAAGAAATCGAGGCGGTGGCATCGCATCCTCTGGAAAGGGAAAACTGGATGAAAACCCGTGGAGCTGTTGAGCTCAAAAAACCTGGGTGATGGACCAGATGTGGGTGTTTTTGAAAGCCGTGATTGAATCAACCACTTATTGAGAGGGGGGTGTTCCCCCTAAATGTGATGATTGGTCTGATTCCCCAAATCCAAAAACACATCCCTGAAAAATCAGGGGTTGATGAATAGGGGGTCAACAATTCGTCTCAAGCATAAATGGGTGCAGCCGCCTTACTTCTTTATTTGGTTCTGGTTGATTACGACCAGTTTCTTTTCGATCGGTTTTGATTCCGGCTCAGAGGTCAAAGGAATGGTCAAGGTTGGACTTGTTGATTTCCATTAAGAATCAACGGCTCGGCTTTTTTTCACCCACGGGAAGTGTTGCGAGCCCTTTCATTCTTTTTATCCAACGAAAGGAAGCAAATGGAAGGTACCCTCTAGAAGCGAGCTGCCGAGTCCGTCGGCCCCGTGCTGAAAGGGCAAGATGCGCCTGGCCTCGTTCCCCCAATCGAATGTCGCGCCGCTTCGCTTTTTTTGATCTTCTTCGCTGTCCCCAAAGGGAAAAGCAAAAGGAGATAGATGCCTTGCGATTTTGCCAGACCCCAAGAGGGTACTTCAAAGCAGGGCCCTTTTCCCGATGAGTTGTCGACGCCGGGGTTTGGAGCAAGCCATAGCAGGTTTTACGCGCGGCCGATGGTCTAAAACGCCAAGCAATGCGGTGCTACAATCCGACGGCCTGTCGGCTGTTCATTTGAAATGGGGGGATCAGTGTGGCGATTGTGGGAGAGGGAGCTTGTGGCGGGGGAATATCCTTCGAAAAACCAAAGCAAATGGCATTCCCTGTTGGAGAACATTGGGACTTATGGTCGGTTGTGCTGGTTGCGAGCCGGTCCGCCGTTTTGCGTTGTTTCTGTTTTGCGGCTTTCAGCTCTACGTAAAGCGCACAGCTGCTCAATCATCCTAGAGAAGCGAGATGACATCGAAGGTTCTAGCGACCTGGTCGGCGGAGTGCGAGCCGACGCATGACGAGGGTGAAAATGGGAGTGCCAAAAACAAGATGGGTAGACCATGATTGTCTGTTTTAAATAAGCATCAAAAGGAGATCCACCATTTGAGAATTCAGATTCCTAAAAACGCCTCGCATTTCCTTCGCTTCGTGCGACCTTAGGGTTTGCCTACCTTTCTGTAGGAATGAACATGGAGGTTGATTAAAAGGTTCTCTACATGGGATGACCATTGGGGGAAGCCACCAAAAAGATGATATTTCCCACTAAATGAGAAACGTTGCCCATGGTCTTTTACGGGGGCCGAACGGAATATTGATCAACCCCCACATTTTCCCAAGAGCGATGCACTTTGCGGGCCCAAGCTGCCCGGAGGAAAAAGAAACTCCATCGATCCGAGGCTTGGCGTATCTCGACCTCATCGTGTTGGTGCTTCAGGCGGACCGAAAGCACGAAACGACCTGATCTCTTCGAAAATCCGCCGCCTTTTGGTAAATGTGTGAATATATATATATATTATGTCTATGTATGTAAATAAATATATATATATATATGTATGGAACTGCTTTCTTTGTTTGAGGAGACCCCACATATGGATGTGTATTTTTTTGGGGATGCTATGTTTATGGTTTGCCAAATACATGGATGTGTCTTTTGTTTTTGAGGATACCCCTGTTTTTTTGTTTTTGGGTGGAAAGACAACAGGAACACCGTTGTGCCATTTTGGGGGACACACACAGATCTACTTGGGGTTGATTCACACAGGCAAGTGGGAATTTGGAGTGGGGGCTAAGCTGTGTGGAACAAATCAACGCCACCCCATCTAAGAGGGTTTCCAGCGCATTCAAAGTACTACCCCCCCCGTTGGGACAAAAGAGGCTGCTTGGCCCAAGTAATCTCTTGACTCTGGGGGAAATGGTTGTTTCCCTCTAGCTGGTAAACTTTAAGTGCTCCCACCTACACCGACATTTTCTCGATGCGCTTCCTTGTTCCCATTTCTTTTTGGGGGATCGATCCCCATTCTAGTTTCCGGCCACACTTTTCAAGTCCCCTCCAAATCCTGCATTGAAGAGACAGTTTAGGGGACTCTGCGTTGAAGGAAAGTGACTTTTGCGTCGCGGCGAGTTTTGAGAAATCCCGATCCAAAATCCTAATCCTATGTCCGGCGACGAAGAAACATGCGCTAGTCACCGCCAAAACTCTGTGTCGGAAGGGCCTGGTCCAATGTTTTCATTGCAGGCCTGTTGGAGTCAGCAAAACCCCCGAATGACTACTGAAGGCGTTGCAACATGTCTTTGGCTGTCATTTTTATATCCCGAGCAACGAGAGGTGAAGCATGGTGTCTTTCTTCTAGTAGTAGTACGCGTTTTTGGCTGTTATTTTTATATCCCGAGCAACGAGTGGTGAAGCATGGTGTCTTTCTTCTAGTAGTAGTACGGGTCTTTGGCTGTCATTTTTATATCCCGAGCAACGAGTGGTGAAGCATGGTTTCTTTCTTCTAGTAGTAGTACGGGTCTTTGGCTGTTATTTTTGTATCCCGAGCAACGAGTGGTGAAGCATGGTGTCTTTCTTCTAGTAGTAGTACGGGTCTTTGGCTGTCATGTTTATATCCCGAGCAACGAGTGGTGAAGCATGGTGTCTTTCTTCTAGTAGTAGTACGCGTCTTTGGCTGTTATTTTTGTATCCCGAGCAACGAGTGGTGAAGCATGGAGTCTTTCTTCTAGTAGTAGTACGGGTCTTTGGCTGTTATTTTTATATCCCGAGCAACGAGTGGTGAAGCATGGTGTCTTTCTTCTAGTAGTAGTACGGGTCTTTGGCTGTCATGTTTATATCCCGAGCAACGAGTGGTGAAGCATGGTGTCTTTCTTCTAGTAGTAGTACGCGTCTTTGGCTGTTATTTTTGTATCCCGAGCAACGAGTGGTGAAGCATGGAGTCTTTCTTCTAGTAGTAGTACGGGTCTTTGGCTGTTATTTTTATATCCCGAGCAACGAGTGGTGAAGCATGGTGTCTTTCTTCTAGTAGTAGTACGGGTCTTTGGCTGTCATGTTTATATCCCGAGCAACGAGTGGTGAAGCATGGTGTCTTTCTTCTAGTAGTAGTACGCGTCTTTGGCTGTTATTCTTATATCCCGAGCAACGAGTGGTAAAGCATGGTTTCTTTCTTCTAGTAGTAGTACGCTACAACGTGCAGTTTCTTACAGTTTCTTATCAAATTTGCTAATGTTCAACAACAATGAGGGAAACCCAAGAAAAACCAACAATTGTTGGAGCATGCTCAAACACTGGCCTATTTTGAACTCTCTAACAGCATGGTTCCCCAAATGTGGGCTCCCAAACGGGAACACCACAGCACGTTTTTCCTCAAATACTCCAAAAAGTCTGTCGTTTGCCTGAAATATCAGGCCCATCGCATCCTGGTTTTGGTGGGGTTCCCCCATTTTTCAGCTCTTGGACTTGGATTTGAACCCCTGGTTCCTTTGGAAAGGGGGAAAATGGTCGCCATGTCCTTTCTAAACCGGGCTTACGAGTTGGTGAGCTCCACACCAGTTGGAGTTGGCGCTATACCGAACAACTCTTGCGCCATTTTGGGAGTTCCAACCAAAGCGCTCCAAAACAACCCTGCGCCATTTTTTGGGGTAGCTTTAAAAATAGAGACACTGCAAAAACTCTGCCGAATCCTCGTGGAACCCTCGCCGAACCCTCGCGGAACCCTGCGGAACCCTCGCAGAACCCTGTCCAGCCTCACCTCAGGGCCGCCCCGGACCACCCCGGAGCATATCTTGGCTGAGACCCCAAACTTTCAGCCGGTGGGGAAAAAAGCAGACGCCCAAATGGGTATGGGTCAAAATTAAACCACCATAAAACCGCAGGTGTTCGTCCTTGTTCCATTCACCAGGATTCCATCTTGGGGTTACCCGATTTTTGACCCACAGTTATATGGTTCCTTAGACTTTTTTGGGGTTTCTTTCAGAGTTTAGCGGCATATCCCACAAATGGGAAAGCCAAAAACCCTGGAGCGTCTCACTTCGGGCTGGGCTCGTGGGCGTCGAGAGTCGACTGAGCCGCCTTCGGTGGGGCTCAGTTCTACTGGCTGCCGCAGATCGCCTGGGATGCCTGGCAGGGGACGAGGCCGCGAGCGGGCCGGTTGGGTGTGATGTGGGTGTGGCTCAAAATTGAAAACCGGAGGGGCCAGCCGCAGGTGTTGGGAAACAGGTTTCCACTTACTGATCGGGCAACCCATTTTGGAATTCCGGCTTTCTGAGCCACGGCCATTTCTGGCTGGGGATGAGGGGAGCGTTCCGGTTTGGAACCTGGAGTTCTGTAAGGACATTTGTGGGGGATTGTGGGGGTGCGGCGTCGCAAAAAATGTGGGTGGGTTAGGTTTCCTATGTTTCGATGTTGGCCGGAGAGGATGGTTCCGCTGGCTCAGTTTCCATGCTTGGGTTGTTTTTTTTCGGGGTCTTGTGGCAGTGTTTGGCTGGTTTTCTGCATTGGTTTTTTGTTGTTTCCCAGTTTCTTGCTTTAGGGTCCCCAGCTGAACTGGTCGGAGCCGGGTTTCAGTAGGACACGGCTGAGGCAGGGGTTCTTTGGCCGGGGGTTCCCATGGGGTACATCTCAACATGGCGGTGATTTTCACTGGGGCGATTAGGGCATCACCCCGCACCGAATCATGTCCACCAACCCCCAATAAAAGACCCCAAATAACGGACATGTCACTCCGCCAGAGGGATGCTCATGTATCATTTGCTCAGAATGTGACGGTTGAAGCTGCCCTTTAAGGGAACATATTTAGAGCTCTGGGCAAATTGGAGACCCCATCCCCTTTTTTGAACGGTTTTGAAGGAGTCCAAACAGGAAAAACAGCTTTTGGAGGACCCCAAGTCTATTTCAGGAAGCCATACGGATGTGACTTCTGTGTTGAATCAAAATGCGAAAGTGATTTGGGCAAACAAAAGTTGGGCCAAAGAAACATGGTTCCGGCGTTTCAAATTCCCTTGCGACACTACCCAGAACGTCCCCAATTTTAGGACAAGTGCCTGGAAGGTAAGAAAACCCAATCGTTCCGATCAAGCTCTTGATTTCCTGTGACTACCCCCTTCCTGAAAACGCCTTTGTCAGGGTATGATGCCAACCCAAAAGAGCGCTATTGACCTTGAGAAGCCAGGTCTATTTGAGCCAAAAACCCGGGTAGATGAAGATTAGTAAGGGCCAATCCCAGCCATAAATAGCCGCGCCTTCTTAATTCTTGACGTTCTGGGTTCACTATTTTAATACCGGGTTTTGATTGTGACTCAGGTCTACCTGGTTTTTGTATCATACTCCGACCGACTTGGTGCTTGGAGGAAGAGGTCCGTTTGGTCGGCTTCACCAGCGCCGCAAAATCAAGCCGCTGGATGTCCCGGCTCTTGACAGCCTTTTACCGGTTTCCTCCGGAAGATCTTTCTTTAAGATGTGTTTTTGAGAAGCCAGGTGGGTGTGCCGTTTTTTAGGGGCCTCCAAAACTGTGGCTTTCCTTTTGGTTGTCCTTGAAAACCGCAAGAGAAAGGAGGCGGTTACAATGAACATGCAAAACACGCATGCGCGCACGCACACGCACGCGCACAGGTGGCTCTCACAGTTGGCCTTCTTGCCTGGCGTGCGACCATTGGTGGCTCACGACCGAAATCGCCTGGTGGACCTTTTGGTGAAACGGCGCCCTCCAAAAAGCGCGCCCAAATCAACCAGGGCTAGCTTGCGTAGGAAACGAAAGGAGCCAACCGTTCTGGGGGACTGACCCCTTTTTTTGTTTTTTCGATCCCTCCAAGTCAACCGGAGAATGTGTCCCAAATCAACCAGAAAGCCATAGAAAACCAGAGAGAACCTGAGAGAAAAATGAATCCATTGGGCCGACAGGGGGGCGCTCCAGCCGTCCTTCATCGCCGGCATCTCTGCCTCTAGGCGCGCGACTTGGTTGGGCGTGAAGGCCGACATCCTTTTTTTTTGGTACCGATCATTTCTTTTAGGATTCTGCGTGTACCTGGAGTCTCCATGACCCTTAAAACAGGGCGTCACTACCCAAAATTAAGGGGTCATGGACCCATGTTTTAAGGGTCGTGGAGACTCTAGGTAGTTGATTTAGTGCCAGGCCAAATCAATGATCAGAGGATCGTGCATATCGCACCCCCAAAATCGTTTGGATAGGATTTTCACTCGCTAAAAATGGAATCAATCAAGCCCAGACACGGCTCCAGCCTGACTTTCGGCCCCCCACGCACCGAAATGACTCACTTCCTTTAGGAGCCGTCAAGAAAACAACGTGTGTGTGTGTGTGTGCGTGTGCGCGCTTGTGTGTGTGTGTGTGTGCTGTGTGCTTGTGTGTGTGTGTGCGCGTGTGTGTGTGTGTGTGTGTGTGGGTCCGTGTGTGTGTGTGTGTGTGTGTGTGTGTGTCTGTGTGTGTGTGTGTGTGTCTGTGTGTGTGTGTGTCTGTGTCTGTGTGTGTGTCTGTGTGTGTGTGTCTGTGTGTGTGTCTGTGTGTGTGTGTGTCTGTGTGTGTGTGTGTGTCTGTGTGTGTCTGTGTGTGTGTGTGTCTGTGTGTGTGTGTCCGTGTGTCCGTGTGTGTGTGTGTCTGTGTGTGTGCGTCTGTGCGTGTGTGTCTGTGCGTGTGCGTGTGCGTGTGCGTGTGCGTGTGCGTGTGCGTGTGTGTGTGTGTGTGTGTGTGTGTGTGTGTGTGTGTGTGTGTGTGTGTGTGTGTGTGTGTGTGTGTGTGTGTGTGTGTGTGTGTGTGTGTGTGTGTGTGTGTGTGTGTGTGTGTGTGTGTGTGTGTGTGTGTGTGTGTCTGTGTGCTGTGTGTCTGTGTGTCTGTGTGTGTCTGTGTGTCTGTGTGTGTGTGTGTGTTGTGTGTGTGTGTGTGTGTGTGTGTGTGTGTGTGTGTGTGTGTGTGTGTGTGTGTGTGTGTGTGTGTGTGTGTGTGTGTGCGTGTGTGTGTGTGTGTGTGTGTGTGTGTGTGTGTGTGTGTGTGTGTGTGTGTGTGTGTGTGTCCATCCCTGTTGCCAAGGGCTGATCTGAGTTCTTTGTCAGACTCGCAAGCTGGGAGTCTTTGCAAATTGTCGAGGTGGTGCCGGCTGTCCTATCCGGACTCTCCATTTCTTTTCCAAGTATGTGGAGTAGGCCACAGCCATCCTTGGGTCTAGTCTGTGGCCCTGACGAGTAGGGCCCAAGGATGACGAAACTCCACTCAATCAATTAAAGTGCATGTGTGCCCACTGGGCTTGATCCTGACCCTCGCAGAAGAAATGAGACACAACAAGGACCGAGAGAGGGGGGATTTCACAAGTGTGATCCAGGCAGTAGTTCGTTTAACGGGCTGCCTGCGGTAGGATAGCCTACTGTGTTTGATTGAGCCTTGCCATCGGCTGCCATTCAGTTGACCCTCAGATGCGACCCTTGGTCCCCATTCATTGACCCTCAGATTGAGTTTTCAGAGTTGTCAGGTTTTGACCCTTGAGGTCCCCAGGTTTGTTTGGAACTTGCCTTTGTTCCGCCAAGCTTTGGGAGTCTTCCCACTCAGTTGCCATTTCATGGTTGGTGCTGTGAAGCACAACGGAGACTGCCAGCGATGTCTATCGCCTCAGAAACCAGCATGCCCATTGGGTCTGAGAGGCCGTAATCCCCCCGATGTATTTTTTGCTGCTGTCTAGGCCGTCGTTGCAATTTGCCATTTAGACCTGCAGCAAACCGTCGGTTTTTCTGGCCCGCGGGTGATTCAAATACCCGGCCGGGGCCCCGGCGTTAGTGGAGCATCTCGGATCTGTTCGTTCTTTTTGTTGTTTTCTTGTTCTTTTTCTTTTTCCTCGCTTTGCGCAAGATCCCTTTGGCCCTTTTGCAACGATTCTCTTTGCAAGCCGCGGTGACTGCGGCGCGTCTGGCTCTGTACAGGCCACAGGGTTTGGAGCCTTTTCACGCCTTGTTCATTTTAGTTTGGCCCGCGGGCGTTTTACACACCCGGCTGGGGCCCAGCGGTGGGATTTGGGTTCTGCGCAGGCTGCAATGTCCATGGCGAAAGAAGTGCCGCGTGGCTGATTGTGTGTGTCCATCCCTGTTGCCAAGGGCTGATCTGAGTTCTTTGTCAGACTCGCAAGCTGGGAGTCTTTGCAAATTGTCGAGGTGGTGCCGGCTATCCTATCCGGACTCTCCATTTCTTTTCCAAGTATGTGGAGTAGGCCACAGCCATCCTTGGGTCTAGTCTGTGGCCCTGACGAGTAGGGCCCAAGGATGACGAAACTCCACTCAATCAATTAAAGTGCATGTGTGCCCACTGGGCTTGATCCTGACCCTCGCAGAAGAAATGAGACACAACAAGGACCGAGAGAGGGGGGATTTCACAAGTGTGTGTGTGTGTGTGTGCGTGTGTGCGTGTGTGCGTGTGTGCGTGTGTGCGTGTGTGCGTGTGTGCGTGTGTGCGTGTGTGCGTGTGTGCGTGTGTGCGTGTGTGCGTGTGTGCGTGTGTGCGTGTGTGCGTGTGTGCGTGTGGGCGTGTGTGCGTGTGTGCGTGTGTGCGTGTGTGCGTGTGTGCGTGTGTGCGTGTGTGCGTGTGTGCGTGTGAGCGTGTGTGTGTGTGTGTGTGTGTGTGTGTGTGTGTGTGTGTGTGTGTGTGTGTGTGTGTGTGTGTGTGTGTGTGTGTGTGTGTGTGTGTGTGTGTGTGTGTGTGTGTGTGTGTGTGTGTGTGTGTGTGTGTGTGTGTGTGTGTGTGTGTGTGTGTGTGTGTGTGTGTGTGTGTGTGTGTGTGTGTGTGTGTGTGTGTGTGTGTGTGTGTGTGTGTGTGTGTGTGTCTGTGTGTCTGTGTGTCTGTGTGTGTGTGTGTGTGTGTGTGTCTGTGTGTCTGTGTGTGTGTCTGTGTGTGTGTGTGTGTCTGTGTGTGTGTGTGTCTCTGTGTGTCTCTGTGTGTCTGTGTGTCTGTGTGTGTGTGTGTCTGTGTGTCTGTGTGTCTGTGTGTCTGTGTGTTTGGGAGTCTGTGTGCTTGTGCTTGTGCTTGTGCTTGTGCTTGTGCTTGTGTGTGTGTTTGCGAGCCTTTCTTCGAGGGTACCCCCTGGCTCAATTGTCTTGCCGGAGTCCGCGCCAAATCCTGCAAGATGCAGACCTGGTGCGCAACCGGCTGCTGTGACGAAGAGGCACATCCGCCAGTGGAGACAATCGATGTGCCTGTCATCACCGTTGAAGCCGAACCGCGAGAACATCAAGATCAGGTTGAGACGCCTGAAAAAATAGATCAGGTTGAGACGCCTCACCAAATATCCCGAGCTCGATCTTTTCCAACAGTAGAAGAGGCTCTTGTTCGGGGCGTCTCAATCCACGCAACCTTGCGCGGCGGAGGTTGCTTGTGGCGAAAGTCCCCCTGTGATATGAACGAGGCAGAGAAAGCTGACCTGTGGAACAAATCAAAGCCCGTCAAGAAGTTCCGCGTGTTTCTTTCGCATGCCTGGGCCACATCTGGCAATCATAAATTTGCAGCTTTGCTGCTACACACTGGCTGTGAGTGTTCTTTGCTTTTTTGGGCCGTTGCAGTCTCTATCGCAGGCGGGCTATGTATTTTTGATGTGCTGCCAATGACAAACACGTTGACCATTGAGTTGCCCCAGATCTCAGTTGAGTGTCCACTTGGCATGTGGATGCTACTCTTCGGCTCACTTGCTCAATGTGCTGGCTTGGCTCTGAGCCCGTACCTGCCCATGAAAGCTTGCGATTGCTTCTTGGACGTCGTGAGCATCAACCAGCAAGATGCTGACGCCATGCTTCGCGGCATTCGGGGTTTGGGCCACTTCTTGAGCCTGTCGGAGGAGTTACATATCTTATGGAGTCCGCCGCTGCTGACGAGGCTTTGGTGCGTCTTCGAGCTAGCTGCATTTCGCGCCGTGAACCCATCAGGCAAGATTCGGTTGACACCTCTCTATATGACAGCGTCGGCTTACCTTAATATATTTGCAGCCATCCTTCTTGCGATAGTCCTGTGGAGCTTGCAGATAGTGGTGGTGAGTGTTGGCGTTGCCTGGATTTTGCTCCTCTGTATCTTTCTGATGGGATGCGGCTTTGCGCATTTGGCGCGGAGGATGGGTGTGCACAACTGCTCTCTTCTTGAGCAGTTGAGTGACTTCACACTAGATGGGGCAGAGTGCCGTCTAGAAAGTGACCGAAAGTTCATTTATGAGCTGCTGGAGCAGTGGTATGGTAGTTTGGATGGCTTTGTTGACGATGTTCGAGGCCCGCTACGTCAGAAGCTTCTCCAATGCAGCTCGCAGATTCCCATAGCTTACATGAAAGTGATGATTTTGCCCTGTGTAGCCTGCAAAGCTGAGTTTGTGCTTGCAATGTGGAAGGGAGGTGTACCAGGCGAAGCATTGATTGCTTATACTGCCAGTTCTGTGATCGGGCTAGGTTGCTTTTGGTTTGGCTTTTGTGCACACTTTGGCCTGTACTTGCTGAACAGGTTGGCAAGGCCCATTTGGCCAGGAGATGTTTGCGACTTTTTGCAGTCTGCTGCGATCGCAGCGACCGTGTCGGTGCTCATCTCGTTCGGCTGCATAGTCGACTCTTACGCCTGGCGGGACGGCGCAATGGCTGCGGCTTGGGCAGGCGTCCTGACGCTGAGCATCACGTGGTTCTGCTGGGCATCAAGAAACGGAGCCTAGCGAAGTTGAGCAAGCTGCTCGTTTTCCAGCCAGCTCGCGCGCGGCACTGCCAAGTGGCACAGAGATTTTTTTTCAGATTTGTCACAGCCTCTTTTGGTGCAAAGAACATCCAAAACGATCCAGTGTCTTGTTTGCCCAGACTCCCTGGACGATGTTTCACGATCTTGCCGCGGACGCGAAAAGAACCATTTGGCATGGCTTTCACGGGAAACTCAAAGGACACTCACCATTTTTGGGGGGTCCCCTATTTTGCTCGTTCCAAACCTCGACGACAAAATCTCTCGGGTAGAAAATTGAACATCGGGTCCTCTTGCTGTGCCAAAAGGAATTAGGGGTTGAACATAGTGGAAACAACTTTTAAAACGGGCGGAAGAAAACCTGCGCCAGGGTTTGTCTGGTGCCTGAGCCCGCCTTTGCTGGATTCAAAGTGGTTTGGGTGCGAGTTTCAATTGGGTTCCGAATCCCTGTAAATAATGCACAGCCATTGGTCTTGGTGAATTGTACCAATTCGCAAGCATGAAACGAGAAATGCTCAGAATGCCAACTTCAATCATGCTCCGAAATCGCCAAACAAACCCCTTTGTGAGGTCGTTTTTTGGGTCACTGGGTGCTGGATTCGGTTGAAATCTTACCTTCCAAATCCAAGTTTCCTTTGAGGGCAGATTGAGATGTCCTTTTCCGGGTGATGTTTAACTCCAGTTTGTTACCTTTCGAATATCATTTTCTCTTGGGAAACGCACATTCCAAACATTTTGTTCGGCGCTGGTGAGTGAACGCTGAGGGCTTTTAACATGGCACTAAACCGCTCTCATCGAAGCAGTTGCTAATTGAAATCCCAGTTCCGTGTCAATTTCTGGAGTCATGTGGTGTGTTTCTGCGTAAGTCAGAAGCTAAGGTTGTTGCCCTTGAGCCTCCTCTCCCATCCAGTGGAACCCAGCAGAGGGTCCCTGTCAAAGCAAAATAGTCTTCCAGCACCCCTCAGTCAGGTTCTATCTTAGTGGATGGGAGGGTACCAGTTGAGGGGTGGGGTGACTCCTCTAGAGTCCTGAATCAATGGGGGCAGTTTTTCTTGCCCCCCCCCCCCCCATTTTCCTTTGAAAACCGGCCCCAGCAACAACTTGGGTGGATTCCCTTTCCATCTTCATGAGACTTGGCTTCTGAGAACTCCCGTCGCATGCGAGTCCGAAAATTCTGAGGCTGCTGCTCCCGCTGTACCTCTGGGGATGCATCGGACTCAAAATCCAGAATTCCCAGCTCAAAGTGCGAGCATGTTACTCAACCCCAGTTCAGAAAGGGTGTCCAACCTTAAAAACGACACACCCAAATGAAACCCTTCTAGCATCCTACTCAACCCCAGTTAAGAAAACAGGGGGGTGTCCCCTACAGCCCCGGAACCCTTGCGGAACCCTCCCTGAAAGCTGCCCCGAACCCCAAAGCTTATTTGGGCAGAGACCCCAAAGCTTTCAGCTGATGGGGGACAAATGGGGGGGTGTTCCCCCTGGTATGATGATTCTCCACTCAAATGGGGACGCCCCCTCAGCTCATCAACCAGGGCTTCTACTTAGATCGGGGTGAACGTTAGAATGTTGAATGAATGAATGTGCATGGATCGGATCTGCTTTCAAACCTGCAAAGTCATTGGCCTTTGGAGGCAAACTGCGCAAACATGGAGAAAGGTCCTTTAAAGGAGCCATCAGGCTTCCAAAGATGGTACTGCATGCACGGCCCCCTCGATCTGTACCGCGCATGTCAACCTGGACCCAGATGTCATCGGGGAGTTCAGTACCAGCAAACCACAAGCCGCAAAAAGACTCCATCAGAGTCAGGGCCATGAAAAACAAAGATAAACTGCGGTCGTCGTTCAAATGAATGAGCCAGTACTCATGAGGATAAAGGATACCATGGGTCTGTTCAAGCATGTTTGAACCACTTAAGCCACCTAGTGTTCAATGGCTTTATCAATCCCGGGCTACTCGACAAATTCACGGAAGGAGCCGACGAGGAGTTGCCTCCACACAAATCGGCGTGTCCTTTTTAGGCCGAACCCCCCCCAAAAAAACCCATCAAAATGGTGGTTGTCCTTTTGGTTGCCCTTTGAAACTAGCCTGAAAAAGGGTATCAAGTCACAAAAAGCGGAGCCACCCCCCAAGGGGCGAGTTTGTTTTGTAGGGGGAACCCCTAAACCAAACCAAAAGGCGTACCTCAGAGGGTACCAGCTGGCTCCCCTTTAAGACCTAAAAGAGGCGCTTCCCTCAAAAAACATGGAGCCAGACGCACAAGGGAGGCCGTGGCTCAAAAGACCGCAATTCCAAAATGGGTTGCCCGATCGGTAAGTGGAAGCATGTTTCCCAAGACCTGCGGTTTGCTCTTCCGGTTTTCAATTTTGAGCCACACCCAAATGGTTCCATGTGGCCGTGAGTAACACCAATGGTACCATTTTGAGGTAGGTTCACCACCCATTTTAGTCTATTTTAGTGGTTGGATTGGGATGTTCACTGGGGGTACTGGCTTTTGACCCATGGCCAAATGGTTCCATGTGAGGTTCGCCAGATTGGTCGCCCCAGGTCCGAAGACCATCTTCAGCGGGGAGATCTACCCGCGCCTCCCGGGGGCCTGAGGGCCCAGGCTTTCCGAAGATCTAGCCGGCGAATCGGATTCCTTTGGGTTTTTCCCCGAGCCAACCATGTTTTGGGGGGTCTTTAAAGAAACACCCATAAAAAATCGCAAGCAAAAAGATCCATTAGTACACATCAAAACTCTGGGGAATTTGTTGCCCGGCACTTGAGTTATAGAAGTTCGGATGCCCGAAAAAGACAACCTCACAGAGTCAAGAAACTGGAGCCCGGAGGACGCCTATAATTAGGGGACTACCCCCCCAAAATATATATATATATATATATGTATATGTATATATCCAAAACCCATAGGGCACGCTGGATTGCGATAGGTGGGGACCTGCTTGAGCTGAGCCACGGTCAATATATTTACTCTTATCAGCCGCAAGGGGACGACATTGGGCACACGCACCAAAGGTTTGGGGTTTCCAAGTAGGCAAATCACATGAAATCATGACAGAAGCGCTAGGGTGCAAACCCCAGGGCCCAAGACGTACCCTTCTGTCACCAAAATGCCATTAGAACATTGGGTTTACTCGCCGAAATCCAATGTCCGTTGGGGGCAAATTTACGTGGCTATTGTTTGGGGTCCTCCCTTGCCCAGTAGCAGTCGTCAAATGGGTTTGCCTTTAAAGGGTCTATTCAGCAGGAGCACAAATTCTTTGTCGGCCGCCGCCCATCCCCTGCAAATACTGATTTAGCGATCCAACGACTGGATCAGGCTGACACGGTGCTTTTGTGGCATGGTGTTGATTGCCCCGTGTGTTGCACGCTTTTGCTGTTGATTTGTGTGGTGCTTTGTGCTGGTGCGTTGTTGCTGCCCCGCGTGGCGGCGAGTAGGGGGACAAATGCAATTTCCGGCGGGGTGCTCATTTCGCCCCTATTGTAGCATATACCACTCATGGTTGGGCGAATCAGGATCGGGATCAGAAGCCAGCGTTCAAGAATATGGCGTGCTTTTGTGGGCATCCATAAGGTTGGTTTAAAGACAGGAAGCCAAAGGAAAGCCATGTTTTGACACATATTCTGAATCACTTCAGGCTTGGTTTGGGCGTCCCCTATTTTGGGAGTTCCCAGTTTTGACACGTCATATTCCGAATCCAGGTGTTTTCTTTTGAGGAAACACAGGGAAGAGAGATCGAGGAGAACAAAGGGAACAGAGGATTGAAGGAACAGAGCGAGCAAAGCATTGAGGAGAAGAGAGGGAACAAAGGGTTGATGGGAACAGAGGGAACAGAGGGTTTAGGGGAAACAGAGGGAAAAGAGGAGTGAAGGGAAATGATTCGCTGGGTTGGAAGGAGAGATGGAATATGCCGCCAATTTCTGGACTGGACTAGAGCAAGAGCCAAAATGAGGCAGGGGGGTTTGCCACCAGCTCCCTCCCGTTTTTCTTCTTCTCCTTTGTGTTTCTTCTCCATATTATTATTAGTATTATTGTTATTATTATTATTATTATTATTATTATTATTATTATTATTATTATTATTATTATTATTATTGTTGTTATTGTTATTGTTATTGTTATTGTTATTGTTATTGTTATTGTTATTATTATTATTATTATTGTTGTTTCAGTGGCCAACCGTTTCGACATTGGATCCACAGAAATGCCCTTCAGTTTCCTAGAACAAAAGGGTCCTTTTGTGCTTGTTGATCCGAAAGACAGCTGGGTGCATGCGCTTCTGCAGATCTGCTTCAGCGGTCGGACCCCGCGAAGGCAAGGTGCGATTTGCACTGCTGAATTGAAAAATGCGAAGCGTCAGGGTGGATTCTTGCGGAACCCAAGCGCTTGGATTGGATTGATTTGACGGCTCAAAAACATGTGCCAAAATCGGACCTTGATATACCTTGGCAAGTGGAACCAAAGACTAAAACCTTAGCTCTTTAATGTTGAGCCACACCCATTTCTCAAGACAAAACTCCCAGGCCAGGTATCACGGCGGGCTGCCCGAGATGTTTTCCCCTGAATTGGATTCACTGGGCGGAGCAAGCGACGGATTCCAGCACGAAGCCACGCACGGCAAAAGATACGGCACCGCCGTTGGTGTTAGCCAAAAGGCCCCAAGAAACAACAAAAAAACCTGGGCAGGGCTCCTTAAAAGATACATATTGCCCATTTGAAACATGGCCGTTTCCACCAAAATAAAGGGAACCCAACATTGATAAGGCAAAGTTCAGGTGTTTTTCTGTAAGGATCCCTGCAAGGGTCTCCTCCAAAGAGAACTCCAGGTGACATCCTCGAGCCGAGCCCCGGAACCCGCCAAAAAACCCTCCTGAAGCCTCCTGACACTGCTGAGCCGAGCGAAACAGAGACTTCCCAAGCCACACATCTCTTGGGTCATTTCGAGAACCCAAGACAATTCCTATCCAAACTACTAGGTCCACGCGCCGTAGATGGCCGTGGGTTTTTGGTCATGCTCGCAGCAGCGAAGCGGTCAAAAACATTGATATTCCTATGGTGTTTCATGCATCTGTGTTGCTTCAATCTCCGTGCTTGCAATTCCAGTGCGAATTAGCAAAGCCAGTGCTTCCACCAATAGAATTGCAACTTCAACATGCTTTCACGGAATCCCGCAAACTAACTGCCGATTTCACAAAATGTTGTCGATTCATCAAAATATATCAATTCTGCATACTGATGCGACCACCATCTTGCGACAACCATCTGATGTGTCACCCCTTGCAACTGGACGCCAGCGAGACTAAGCGAGAGGGCGGAAAGCACGCAGAACGCCTCATAGCAGACCCAAAGCACAGGCAAGCAAAGGCCAAGAGAGTCAAAGGCCAGTGGAAACCGATCAGGCAGCAAGACTATCTCTGCCACGAGCGACAAACACGGGTCCGGGTTTGCGTCACTACGTCAAAGAGAGAGTCCAGGCACACAACAAAAAAAGGATCCAGGATTGGGTGGCAGCAGAAAAGAGGGGACGAGCCAGCACAGCGCAAGATCAGGACGAGACCTAAGGCGAGACGAGCGTCCTCGGAAAGGTACATTTGAACCAACACTGAAGACAAACATGAACGCTGTGGACGAGTCCGAGATCACCCCCCCCCCACCCCACCCCCCTCCCCCGCCGGCTGAAAAATCAACGAAAATACACGGCCGTGTATGGCGCGTGGTCCAACTACTAGACTCCAAATTTCTGGGGAGTCCCAAAGGAAGTTGTTCCACATTGACACCCCAATTTCCCCCAAACCACTGAGCTCCCGCGAGTCCGCGCGACTCGCGACTCGCGACTCGCGACCGAGGCCCCGAGCGCTCGGTGGTGCCTGCTGCTGGTAGGCCTCCAAGCGCTGCAGGCAGGGGTGGTGATTCATCCACTCAGCTTCCCTCTTGGTGGTTTGGAGCCACCCGGTGGCTTGGTATTTGGCTAGGCCCAGTAGTGCCCTTTCTCACCCAACTTATTTGGTTGGGAGGGTTCCCCTACTAAAATAGGCTACAGAAAAAAGTTGGTACCCTGATTCCATTGCTTTGTTTGAAGGAAAGTGATAGTTATAGTCTAACTCTGTTTCTTTTTGTGTGTTTCTTGAATAATATATTACATAAATGTGTTATATGTGTATGAAACATGTTTTTGGATCAGCGATTTTTGTTTGGAGTGATTACTTTCGGGACCCAGTACCCTTAAACCACCAGGAGGCTTTGGAGATGTCGCTTCAATAGCCACCACACGTTTCAGATGTGGATACTCCAAGGTTTGCGTTGGTTGTCCACATCAAGGGTTGACATGATACCCAGCAAAGGGTATCAAATAGGGGCTCTGGAGAGGAACACACACACACACCCACACCCACACCCTCACCCACACCCCACCCACGCACACCCACACGCACACGCACACGCACACACGGGCACACGGAGCACACGGCACGCACACGCACGCACACACACGCACACGCACACGCACGCGCACGCGCACGCGCACCGCACGCGCACGCCCACGCACGCACGCACGCACGCGCACGCCGCACACGCACACGCACACGCACACGCACACGCACACGCACACGCACACGCACACGCACACGCACAACGCACACGCACACGCACACGCACACGCACACACGCATGCACGCACGCACACGCGACACACGCACGCACACACACAGACGCACGCGCACAGCATCGCGCACACGCGCACGCACGCACACGCACGCACGCGCGCAACGCACGCCGCACACGCACACGCGACGCACGCGCACACGCGCACACGCGCACACGCGCACACCGCACACGCGCACACGCGCACACGCGCCCACCCACCCACCCACCCACCCACCCACACCACCCACCCACACACACACCACACACACACACACACACACACACACACACACACACACACACACACACACACACACACACACACACACACACACACACACACACACACACACACACACACACACACACACACACACACACACACACACACACACACACACACACACACACACACACACACACACACACACACACACACACACACACACACACACACACACACACACACACACACACACACAGAGACATACAGACAGACAGACAGACAGACAGACAGACATACATACATACATACATACATACATACACATACACATACACATACACATACACATACACATACACATACACATACACATACACATACACATACACATACACATACACATACACACACACCGCCTTGCCTTTTGTATGTGGTCTCTTTTTGGGCGACCAAAAATTGGTCCCCTCACTCCTCGTTGTCTTCACATAGTTTCCTTTGAACGCCGTTTTCAGCCTTTAACTCCCCACACTTAAGAGAACTGAGAGAGGGTTTGACCGGCCCGGAGCTACGATGGATGCCGCTAGGATTCCCAAAGCAACCTCCTTTTTCCTCAAATAGAAGGCAGCCAGAAGGAAACGTGTTTTGAAGGGAAGCCAAAAATTGCAAAACACAATTGGCTATGAATCTTAAGAGGGAACCCCCTCCGCAGTGGTTGGTGGACATGGATCCCCGCAATGATGTCCACCAAAGGGTCCCAAATGAAAATTCAGACGCAAATAGCCCCAGCCATGCCCAAAAAGCCCATCATTAAACTTCAGACCCATTTTTCCGGACCCACCAAATGAAGTAAAACAAAAAACGGGCCCCATGAATTCTTCAGACCCATTGGGACCAATTCATTAAAGGGACCCTGAATTCAGGAAAAAAACACCAGGAGAAAAATAACCAAAGAACAACTTGGGCGACTTCCGGGAGTTCAGCGTCGTCCATCGCCAGGTGGGCGTGCTGCTGCTGCAGCGCCGCCTCGGCGCGCGCTGGTTCATCCCATGGGCGGGGGGGCCACGAGAGAAGAAGTTTGGGGTGGGGCGGCTCGTGCCTCAGGGCCTTTTTCTTGTTCTTGTGCATAAATACATAAATATACATACTAACATACATATTTCTGAAAGTATAAAAATATTCATATATATATATATAAATGTATGTATATTTATATATGTATGTGTGTGTGTACCTTTTTTGTTGGGAAAGAAGGAGTCTTTTCTGGACTGAAAAGAGGGGGGGGAGGGTTCCCAATTTTGCTCAGAACACACTGTTCGGGACTTTTCTCGAGTCCTGCATAAGGGGGTTCCTTTGGTTTCTTTTTTGCTGCTGACCCCGGATCTAGGTAGAATCCGTCTATTACTAGGCGGGAGGGGCTTCTCCAAAAGTGGTGTGAATTCAACCATGGGTTATTCATCCGCGGTAAACATTCTTGAGTTTCAGCGGGTGTTTAACTGGAGGGCTTTAAGTGAAACGAAGAGGATGCCAGCCATTTGGACGTTTTTGGGGACTAGAGTTGGAGGGATTTAAGGGTTTTAAACGATGAACAGAGGATACCAGCATCCTTTTTGTTGAAACAGGCGGACCCTACCCCCCAAAACGAGGTTGTTTGCCAAACAAGGTTGTTTTCGCACAATAAGTGTTCAAGCCGTGGTTTCAAAACGGGGTTGGACCAACCCTGCTGACCTGATTGGACCAGGAGATCCTTCCCATCCTTCCCTCCGTTTGAGCCAAACACATATGGCTGTGGGTCAAAACCAATGGTACCATTTTGGGGTAGGTGCATCACCCATTTTAGTCTTTTTTAGTGGGGATTGGGATGTTCACGGATTTTGACCCATGGCCATATGAACGCAAGGAGCTATTGTTCATGAGGCCGCTAAATTAACAGGTCAGAACATGTTTCGCCAACTCGGGGTTTTAAAGGCCGGGTTTTCTGAAGCGCCATGGGTCTTGTGCTTCTTTTCACTGCTGGGATCTCGCTTGACGGCTTTTCACATTTTATGGTTCACTAAACATGAGAGGACCTTGAGCCAGAGTTGGTCAATGGTTCTCACCCCCAAAGGGTGTTCACTAACCCAACTACCTTTCAAAGTGCTCCAACCGATAATTCATGGGATTGAAGTCACACAACTCCCCATCTTGAACAACGTGACAACTAGATTTCCCTTTGGCAAGGGGTTCAAACGTCACCTTTTGCAGGTCAATTTGAAGGGTTTGCTCAACGGGAGCGGTAAAATGTGCGAGCGAACCAGATGAGCTAACCCAGAAGGGGCCTCCGGAATTCCTTATGCCCAGTTCAATCAAGTAGTTTGCCCAGATGCGACTGGTGGGTCTTCTCCTAAACTTACTAGGTCCCCAGTAGTGCTTTTACCCTTTGTTGGGGGAGGGTTCCCCTACTAAAATAGACTACAGAAAAGAGTTGGTACCCTTATTCTAACGTCTCTACTGGAGGCCCTAGCTTGTCTGCGGCCCTTTCCGGGTCGGCGCGTTTCAGCCTGAACCACCGAACCACAATCCCACCTTTTGCTTGGCTAGCTGGCAGGATCTTTAGACTACCGGTTCTTGACTGCTATTGTGTTGGATCCTTAGACTTTAACTTTTTGGGACATCAGGGGGGTTTCCACGAAACCCACAAAAAGTTAAAAAACTTCTTGCAGAGGGGTCAACAGCAACCAAGTATTTGGGAACTGAGTCGATTGCTCCCACTCAATGTGGGGGGTTCTCTCAAATTTCGGGACACCCCAGTGGGACGCAGGAGGCGGGTCACACACACACACACACCCATGTAAGTCCCTTTCCGCAAACGAAAAAAGGACACAGGGCGGATATTGTGTTAAGATCTCAGTTCGAGAACGGAAGCCTTAAACAAGTGATACATCTATTTTTCCGATGATTTTCCATATTTCTGGATGTGTCTGGCCATATAAAGATGAACATCTATTTTCTCATGTTTTCCAGACCCAGACCCAAAATCTCGCCCGCTTTTTCCATGCTGAAATCGCTCGCCTGAGCAGCGCTCACGTTGCTCGCGATGCTCAGGTGTGCATGCCCTGGGCCTACAACTACCATCGGTTCATGGCGCCTTGGCACGAGAGAGTCTTCCGTTAGCTTCTCTGGTCGACGTCCGGGAGAGGCAGAGATGGGTCTGGACAGGGGGCGGGTGTTCCTTGTCTAGTGCCCTTTTACCAACTTTTTTGGGGCAGGGTTCCCCTACAGAAAGAAAGGGTACCCTTATTCTAACCTCTCTACTGGACCTAGTTAGCTCATAGGCCGAGAAGTTGACCACAAACTCCATATGATGCCCCGGACTGTTCAGGGAAACGCAAAGGCTTCACCATCCTGTGCATTTCAGATTTTCGGCCTATTCCGCGGGCGTTTGGGCCTCACTTCCGGGCGTGCTGGTGGGGCAGTGGAGCGGCTGAAAAATGCCGCGGCGTGGGGTGCTCCGTTGGGAATTTGTCTCGCGCAAGACATGCCTGTGCGATCTGCAATCTAGGTCCTCCAGAGAGGTTAGAATAAGCTGGCACCAACTTTTTTCTGTAGTCTATGTTAGTAGGGGAACCCTCCCCAAAAAAGGTTGGTGAGAAAGGGTGGGGCATCTAGGCTATGGACCTGAATTCGCCAGCGATTCATGTCTGGCTGCCGCTTGATGAAGCTATCTGCAAGGCCCGAATGACCTGTGAGCAGAGGGCAAAAACTCATTGGTTGCAGAGGAATGGCAGGGCAACCAAACCAATGATCTCCCAACGCGTCAGCGCTGAACGCTGTTCCAACTGGCCCAGCAGAAATGAATCCTGCAAGCTGCGACGACTCTGTCTATTGAGCAGACACATCGTGGATATAGAAAATCAAGCAATCCTTAAATGGCGGGTAGAACGAGCTCACCCTGATGCCGGTTGTTTTTGGGATCCAATTCATATTTCAGGTTTCAAAAGTGTTGTCAATTGCAGAGCTGACCCTTTTTTCGGATGGACAGCCCCAGCAGAGCCTCCTGGATTTGACAACATAGGGTCAAGCGGTTCCTTTTTTTTCCATAGGGCTGGCTTTTTTACTAGCGCTGGTCCCCTGGTTGCTCCCCTGGTTGGTTGGTTGGTTGTTGGTCGGTCGGTCGGTTGGTTGGTTGGTTAGCCCGGACAAAATCGGGCGCGCTTTCTCTTTCTCCCGAGGGTCACACAACTGGGTCTCCGACAGATCCATCGCGAGCGATGCCAAACATTCTTTGCCCTGCCAAACCAAATGGTTCAAGCTTGATGAGGGATCACTCCATTTCTCCTTTGGACCATCAAAAGTGGCAGTTTTAGTGGAATCCACCAGTAAATTGCAACTTTGAAGGGGGATTCTAGTGACCCCTGTTGATCGCTCTGAGTTTTCAAGGGGCCCATCCCCAAACCAAATGAGGAACGGCGAGCTCTTTTGTGTTTCCTTTCGCTCGCACGAGGCCATTGACCCCGGTTCGGAGTGCGGGGGGCCTCAGAAGGGCTCGAGATCGAGCGAGCTTTCTGGGAATTTGAGCGAGGCACATCTGTCCATTTCATGGAGCCTGGATTCCCTCCTGCTCGATGCCCCCAGTTTTCAACTCGCTTCGGAGGCTCGGAGTGGGGACGGTGTTGCTCCTTTGCATCCCAAAGCGGCCAGTTGCCACACATGGTCTCGGGTTTCGGTGTCTCGGTTTCTCGATGCTCCGCGTGGCATTTGGGTTCGCGTGCTGCCGAACTCATCGAGGCGCGTAGCAGCTATCCCACGGCCATCGTTCCTCTCATCTACTGGAAATGAGTCTAGGTCCGTCAAGTAGTGCCATGGGTATGGCCCACTTTGTTATCCAGACATGTAGCAAAGATGGGTAGGCCACATTAGTGGCTAGGTCCCCCAGCTAGGTGCCCTTACTCACCCTCACTTTTTTGCTTGGGAGGGTTCCTACTAAAATAGACGTCCAGAAAGAAGTTGGTACCAACTTATTCTAACCTCTCAAATCTGGAGGACCTAGGAGTGGTTGGACGATCTGGATCGGAGCTTATTGGTCAGCGCCCATTTGCGACGAGCGCGAGGGTTCGATATGTTCAATGGCCACCGCCGGAAAAAGGAGGTTTTTATCATGGAAAACCAGGTTTTCCACAAACATACCCTGAAAAAAGCGGGTATTTTGAGTAGGGGGTACCCTGCTTGGGCTTGATCTGAAGGGACACCACGAGGGAAAATTCGACCCTTGCTTGGGTTCCTCGAGAGATAAGGGCACGCTCTCTCATCGCGAGCCCTCTCCAAAGCTGTTGATATACTGAATGACGTCCATGCGCTGCCTTCAAGGATCACAAAGAACGATCGGCCCTTCTTGAGGATCTAGTGAGGCCCTTGGTGATTTCAATCAAGATATTCCAAGATGTCGCCCAGGAAATCCCACGAGTTGCGCCACAACGCAAAAAGGCCCTTATATAGTACCACTACCAGTTGCCCTTCCCCTTCAGTCAGCACGTATGGTTATACATCCAGGCTCCATATTTGGACACTGATTGCAGCTTGAAGTTTTCTCGGACTGGTTCGTTTTTGATGTGTACTGAAAGCGTCAGATGATTTTTGCGCCTTTGGAGCGCCAACCCTCACAGTGCAACGGTGCAAGACTGGAAACCCTGGAAGCCAAATCAGCTTGCAAGTGGGGTACCATTTTTTGGGGTACCCAACGCTTGGTGTGGAACCATTGGATTTCGGTTGCCCGTTCCATGAAAGCGGCGTTCGTTGGAACGAGGAAATGGACTGGCTTTTGGGTGGCTCATCTTTGTTGAGGGTGCCCTTTGTGGGGTTGAAGGGAAACGACAGGAAGCCAACATATTAGTCCCCTTGTTTTTGTTAATCTTTTCCCCCCGCATCGCTTGGGTCAACTTTGGAGTTTCCCTGTGGTCAAGAGCAATGGGGACGCAGATGTCTTGAATTTTGATTCGAAGCAACTTGAATTTTAAGCGTTGGAACCTCACAAGTAGTCACCGAAGTTCGTCCACGATCTCGGATCCAGCAGAAAAAAGAAACAAAAACATGGCGTGGTTACGGGTTTCCTGGCCGACGCCAGCTTCTTGGATTCTTGTGCCGCCGGGTTTGCCCAGCCACCAGCCCGAGAGTCTGCAGGACATCCCTGTTTTGTGGGCGAGGATTGGGCGAGTTCCTTTTTTCCGAAAATTCCTGTGGCTGGTTTCCATGAGTCTTTCAACTAGACTTTGCCAGCCCGCCCCTAAAATTACTTCAGGCTGTTGCCGTGCAAGCCCAATAGGACGGTCGATATCCATAGGACGGATGGGGAAGTCTCAAGAGACTGAACTGGGTATGGCTCAAAAATCTGGTACCAAAATGGAACCCTGGTAAGTGGAAACCTGGACCAAAACTTGCGTAAGCCCTCCTGTTGATTTTTGAGCCATACCCAGCTACCAACAGGCGCCTTGGGATCCAACTCGACTCGCGGAAGCCCAGGCGTCATTTGCATGACGGACCTGAACCCCGAGGACCCTTTGTCGTGTGAGACGGAGTCCGTCTCTAACCCGAAGCTGCCCAGCAAACGCGCACTCCTGGTTTTTGTTCGGGGGTCAAGGGTCAAGGGAAAGAAAACGGAACACCAAATATCACACATACCCTTCCCAACCTTTTTTTAAGATTCCATCAAAGCCAAAATAATTTGGATTTTCCATGGCCACACTGAGTGTCTGAGCTGGGAGTTTGGAGGCTTTCAAAATGACACCCATTTGTTCATCCTGTGCAAGGGGCATGGTCACGACTGCAGCTCATTTTGGAGTGTGCCCTTTGTGGGTTGCCTCTTTGGGGAACTCGACGGCAAAACGCCAATTTTGGGAGTTTCCTTGGTTTAAGACAACCTTCACCTCATGTTGGCCCCAGATCAATCAACACGAGGGGGAGGTCCACCTCTCCCCAAAGGGATCCGGATCCCCCTCTTAAGCGGGACACCCCTCCATCAAAGCCAACAAGGGTCTTACAAATCCATGAAAATCATGGGGTTATACAGTGCTTTCAGAGCTTCGGGCGCTATAGAAGCCCGCGGGTTTCTTTCAACGTGGCGTTGCGCAGCAATACTGCTCATGGCATGTCACTCGACTGATCAGTGCTGCACAGAGCACTCATTTCCCACAGCATGGCGTTGCGCCTCCGCGTTTCGCTCTGCCCTTTGCCTATGTCTCTTGTTTCTGAACGGCGGTAGGGTCTGTCACTCAGCGCGATGGCCTTTACACACATCCACATCAGTTGCAAGGCATCAAAACGCGACTAGGTAGCTTTGAAGGCCCCTCACTTGGAAAGTGAGGGAGGAATAGGGTGAAGACTTCTCTGCAGTTCAAGCCACCAGTCCCCACCAATAAAGGAAAGATGAAAGCAAGAGGATGCCCTTGCCTCTCCCCCCATCCCGCGTTTCCCCGAAAGGAGACGTTAGCTTTTAGCCTTGCGACGAGCTTGTTTTTTGGGACACTGAGGGCTGGGGTTGTTTTACAAGGAAGGACCAAAGGATCCCGTGCATGCCGTTCACGCGCCGTCATGTTGCTTTTTTGGGGTCCGACAGTTTTGTCAAGAAGTCTACAGGATTTCTGCTTCCTTTCCAATGGAAGTCGGTTCCTTGTCGTTGCTCGCCTTTCTGTGGGCTGATGTTGAGGGGAAACCAAAAGGAGACCGGCATTTTACACACACACCCCATATCCCCGTCGGCCTGTTTTTCGATGGATCCAGGACGGTCTGCGAGTGGTCACGCCTTGCAGCCACAGTTTTCACCAGGCCTGGCTCAAAGCGCTTTCGCCTGGCGAGTCGGCGAGCCGGCGAGGTTGAAATGGCACCAGTTTCTGGCACAAAGGTTTCTTGGTTGAAATGGCTGTGGGTCAAAAATAGGGACCCAATATGGAGCCTTGGTAAATGAAAAAACATGGACTAAAACCCGCAGTCCCCGAGTGGTTCAGTTTTGACCCACACCCAAATCGCTGGAAGCGTGTCAAGCGGCTTCTTTTGGAGACGTATTTTTTGGGTGTCGAACTCACTCCCGACTCCCAACTACCCTCGACCCATCTATGACCCCGTCGTTTCCGGGTGAATAAAATAGATAAATCAATAAATGAATAAATCAATAAATCAGGCAACCCTTAATTCTTCCCCAGAATTAGCCCCCTTTTTCCTTTTTTGCTTTTTTGGGGTCCCCTTTGTTTTCCACTAGCCAGGCCAAAAACAAATATATGTTTTTGCCGGGGTCCCAGTTCCAGCCTAGACTTGGCGGTTTGGATTTTTGGGCTTTGGGGATTGGACCCGCTTCTTGTAGGCGCTTGGGAGGCCTTCCCAAGCTCCGGGCTCCAAGCCGAGGATCTCGGACCTTCCATGTCCAGTCTGAACCCAGGGCTTCGAACCTTTTCAGGAAACCATCCAAACACCCAGCGGAGCCGGGTGTTTGGAAAGAACCGTGATTGAAAAGAATGGGGAAGGACTCAACTAGAAAAGCGGCCAGGTGGACCCATGCACCTTTTTGAGGCTGCTCAAAAAGAAGAAGAGAAGAATCCTCTGAAAATTGGGGGACCCTTCGGAATCCTCTGAAAACTGGGGGCCTCTGAAAATTCAGAGGATTCCTTTTTCAGGCTGCTCAAAAAAAAGAAGAGAATAATTCTCTGAAAATTGGGGGACCCTTAAAAAAACCTCTGAACATTGCGGGCCTGAAAATTCAGTAAGTGGGAAACGCTGGGTAGGGTCATCTTGTTCTTTCCAGCTGCCACTTCCCTCGGTGAGAGAGATTCGGAGCAAGGATGGGCGGTTGTTACTGAGTCGTTGTCCCTGGGAGATGCGGTGAGTCCCCCATGTCCCGAACCTCAAATGGACATAGACGGGTCATTTTCTTTGGAGGTTTTCCCTGGTTTTTTTTACAGTTTTTTTCCAGAGGAAGAAGGTTTTTCGGCCAGAACGGGGAAGTCGCCCTTCAGGTTTTTTCGGGAGCCCTGAGCCGCTCAAGCCGTGCGCTTCTCCTGGCTCAGGGGTGCTTGGAGCAGTGGATGGACGTGAAGATGGAGCGCCAGCCTAAACGATCCGATCTTGGGGGATTTGAAGGCCAGATCCCCCAGTGCCCTTTCTCACCCGCTTCTTTTTTGGTGAGCCCTACCATAGCCTACAGTGTCTACAGGGTAGCAACTTATTCTCTCCTCTTAAATCTGGAGGACCTATGTGTGCCCCAAGAAGGCCCACGACCATCGTGATTTGTTTGGAGTTGGGTTTGAAAGGGAAACCAAATTCAAAACCCTTGCCATTTGGGGGGCTCCTGATCCTTTGAGCGAAAGCCATGGGTTTAGCACAATTCCGTGATCGTGATCACCAACGACGTCTGGAGAAACACAATTAGTGATATGTGTCTATATATATATATATGCATCTGTATACATATACTTTGCACATGAGCAACGTGTAGGTGTGCATGTGCCAACAAGGTTTTCATCCAAACAAAAGCCGGTAACCCATCGACAGCAGCGGTTGAACCACTTGGCCAGACAGCGCCACTGGTTGCAGGTGAAAAGGGTTACACCCCGTCCCATGGAGCCTGACAGAAGGTCCCTTTCAGAGGAACAAGGGCTTCGCCTCAGTTCCATGTTAGAAGGGTACTTGGCTTTGCCTGAGATTAAGGGACGCCCCCCCCCCCCCAAAAAGAAACAGAATCAACAAAAAGCAGCCCATCGCGGCTTTGGTTCTGGTTTTCCCCTAAACCAACCCAAAAACAGACTCAACAAAAGCCAGCCCATCGCGGCTTTCATTGTGGTTTTCCCCTGAACCAACCCAAAAGGGGTTGCAAAAAAAAGACGCGCAGGGTGGAGTTTTCAGTTTTTTCCAGACCCGTTTAGATCCCAGTGCTTGCTGCCAGGTCGCCGGGCCTCCGGGCTGGAATCGAGAATCGGAAAGGGTCACCACTATGCGGCGAAGGTGGAAGAATCCTTTGATCAAAGGAAAACCAAAGAGAAGCAAACCTCCGCGATTGACACCTTTTTTTTTGCGCGTTTCAGGCGCATAGGCCTGGTTTCTTCTCGAGTTGCGGCTAGGTATTTTCTTTTGTTCTGCTGGAAGTATGGGGGACTCGCTTTAACAAATCCAGGGGGACGCACTGACTCCATCATTTTCCCATGCCCGCTAAAAAAAACACAAGAGAGCTCATATCTCGTGGTGGCTCCCAGCCATCTCTTAGCCTAGCGTTTTAGGGTTTCGTGGGAATTTCCATGTACCCCCCCTTAAAAGTTAACTTTTCGCAGGGGATCAGAAAACTGGCAGCCCAGATCTGACCGCTCCCTCGCTGCAACGATCAGAAGCTTCTCAGGTGCCCCACCTGTCGCACAGCGCTTCCACCCCTGCAGTGAGAGCGGCGAGCCTCGCGGCCGGCCGCGGCCGACCGCGGCGGCGATCGGGCCGCGGCAGACGAGTTCTGCGGAAGGTGTTGGTTCGATTTGGCCATGGATTTTAATAGGGAACCGCCTCAAAAGTGATTGGTGGACATGAATCGGGACCCACCGAAATGATGTCCACCAAAGGGTCCCTTATTGAAATTCATAGCCATTTCAGGGTCGGAACCCACCTTATGCTGTCTAGAAAAGCATGTGCCCATGTGCCGTTTCACACCTGGAAGTTGGGAAGTCGTTGCTTGGTTTCCGACGCCTAAGTGTTCTTCATCCCGGCCCGGTGAGTCAGCCAACGCCTTTCCAACAGTTTTTGGTTGAGGCTTGTCCAACTTTGAAATCCAATACTTGGAGGTCTGGGATGGCTCAACCATCCTTGCTTTCAAACATCTGACATGGAAGCCCAGCTACGAATGCTCGTTCGCCGCGTTTCACGCGTCCCAAAGTTTCAGCCCGCAAACCAATCGCCCGAGGGCAAACAACCGCACGAACAAGGCTTCCTGCACCCTCAAGCTACCCATCAAAAAAGGGGAAATCACCCCTATAATCTTGTGGCATTTGCTCTTTTTTAAGGGACATTTGACGGTCCAGCTTCTTCTTACCTGCGGGTGTTTATGGGTCAGTTTCTTAGGCACGTTTTGAAGGAGGGAGGCAAACTGTGATTCAAGCAAACAGAGCAACGGACCTTTCATGTTTCGCGAGAGGGTTTGGGCGGAACTTCAGAGTCAGGGGGATATCCAACAGCTTGCTCCAAGTTCGCCTAACCGCGCGCCCGTGTTTGCACTTTGGTGCATTTTGCCAAGGGATGTTAGGACTTTAACTTTTTGCCAACTCATGGGTTTTCCGTATTAAACCACCGAGTGCAGGTCTCCTGTTGGCCGCCCTTTCTAAAAGTCCGTGCCCCAAACTTGACTGCTACCGGGTTGGATCTTTAGACTTTAACTTTTTGGTTGAAATCAATGGGTTTCCACTAAACCCACAACAAGTTAAGCTTTTTGCAGAGGGGTCAAAAGCAACAAAGCAAAGGGGGCCAACGAGCTAATCTCTCGCCTTGGATGCCAACTTGGCTGGTTCCATTTCCAGATTGTCCTGTTTCCTTGATTCCATGACCAGGACACCACTACAAGGAATCAGTCCGGACGCAGGGCTCTGCCTCGCTTGTCGGCAAGCTTTGTTTGCACTGGGTCATGGGCAAGGGCAACATGCAGACAGGGCTCCTTAAAAGCTACATTTTGCCACCATTTGAAACATGTTTTTTTTCCATCAAAATGAAGGGAGACCAGCATTTACAAGGCAATGGTAAGGATCCCTGCAAGGCAATCTAACATGCACAGGGCTCCTTAAAAGATAGATACATTTTGCCCATAAAGGGACACCACCATTTACTTTTGGCAACGTTCCGGTGTTTTTCTGTAAGGATCCCTGCCTTGGGCAGTCCCGTTGCGAGCGGCTGAAGCGCATGGTGCCAGAGCGGCAGGAGGTTCTTGCCTCCACTTTTGCAGGCGGCACAGGTTGCCCAAGCGCATGGCGAGGAGCCTTCACTCGCGAAGAGGTACGTTGCATTTGGAGGGCAAACCCTCTGGTTTGTGGAGGTCAAGCTAAAGGCGACGGATCCTAAAAGACATAAAAGTAGCATTTTTTTTTAAAGGTGGTATTTCACTATTGTATGGAATACTCCCACCTACGCTACATCCCGCTCTTTAGGATTTGAGGCTACTCTTGGCTTGTTTTCCAGGAAGCCGCACCTCAGGCTTGTTCGCCGATCGGCCAGATCCTTCTCGAATTTATCTCTTCGGAGCTCTGGCGACGCATGGCTCTGAGAACATAGGTGTTGTTTTTAGGTGAGTTTGGTTAAGAAGAGATGGGTTCCACTAGTTTAGATGGGGTTTATGCCCCATGTACCAGGGAAACCCATCTATTTTTAACCAAAAGGCCACCTATGGTTCCGAGAGTCCGGCCGAAAAGAGAGAGCCCCGCGTGTATGGCCCCAGACGGGGCGTGTCAGTCTCTTGGCTGGCGTCAGGAAAGCCAACTTAGGAAAGCCAGAAAGAGCATCTTTGGAGGTCCGAGTGGTCCGTTTTTTGTGCAGGGCTGTGGTTGAAATGGAATCCACGAATCTATGATACAACAAAAAGGGCCGAACCCCGAAGACAAACCCCCCATAAGAGGGATTCCTGAAAGTATCACAGAAGTGGTTGGATAAACCCCTTGATCCCACAACCCTGTTTTTGTGTGTTGCCTGGGTGGGGGGGAGGGGTTGTCAGTTTATTTTTGCCCCCAGACTCTGAAGAGATTGCATGTTGTGTCAGGGTATCCTCCGCAGGAATCTCCGGTTTCGAGAATCGTCACTGTGCGCGGTTGCAAATCAGAGTCCCAGTTGAGAGCAACTATGGGTGACCAGACTGTGGCTTCCCCCTTGGTCACTTGTGGCGTGCCTGGAAGCACTCGCTTTCCTCCAAGTTGATCGTTGAAATCCGAGGCTTCAAAAGATGACCAGCCAAGGGTAGAACATCAGTGGGGGGCAACACCTATCATTGCTTAATCTGGGTTTTGCAGTTCCCCATAGCCCAAGTCTAATTATTTAGGCCCTTATATGATCTTCCTCTCATTTGGGACCAAGTCTCTAGCTGTCCGATCGGGTTCTTTAGGGCAGCGCTGTTGATTCAAATCCTTTGACTTCACACCACCCACGTCAACACTGTCAATGGCCCTTGCCAACGAACCAAGGGCTTTGCCCCAGCTGGGCAATCCGAATCCAACCGCTCAAAGGGGACAGCCCGAATCGGAGTCGATCCTTTCCAAGAAAACCTTCGCCAGAGCAGCGGCCAGCAGCCAGCGGCCTGCGGCCGGCCCGGTCTGTAGAGAACACCGCGGGCCCCGTTTCACCCGGAGGTGCACAAAGAGACACAGACCAGGGCGAAGTTCGGGAGGTTGGCTCCAGGAGAGAGACCAGTCAGTTTCTGGTGGCCCCCAGCCGTCCCGAAAGCCTTGGTTTAGTGGTAGTTTCCATTTAAGCCACTAGAAGTTAAGCTTTTAGCAGGGGATCAGAAAACGGGCAGCCCCGGTTTGTTTGCCACCAGTCCTAAAAAAAAAAATCGGTGGCAGCTCCCGTGGAACAGGTTAGGCGCTGGCATCCGGTTTGTGATACTGGGGCTTCCGAAGCCCACTCACTGAAACTTCAGCTCGATTTGTTCCAGGTCATGCTCTCCCATGTTCACGGGTTTTTTTCTACCGAGAGGGTGTCCACGTTCTGCCATTCCCAGCTTTCCGGTGTCAACTGCCTTCATCGAGCCCAGTGGTGCCACGAGAGTCTGTAAAGTTCAGTCGGCGTTTCATTGTGAAAATGCACACCATGGCAAACGATGGGGGACTCTCAAAAGAACGTTTTTCCTGGAAAACACTAAAAAACGCTGGAAAACGAACCGGGGGACTCTCAACGTCGCCAGCGAAACGGGCGCAGATGTAAGTCATTTCGACCGTGCCTCATATGTTTGGATTCAGGACTCGTTTCCCCCAGGCCAGGGATCGTTCCATGCCCCAGGCAATTCGTCTCGCCCCTGTCAGGCCCGGTTTTGGCTGGAGCGGCTCTTGAGGGAGCCGTTTCGACCTTAGTCGATCGGATCAGTTGCCGGTGTTGAGGTGAGACACTCGGTGCAGACAACACCTTTCCTGTTGGTCATCGATTTGGTCATTTTGGTGACAGCAACGCTGGGGAAGCAAGCATTTTTCAAACCCCCAGTTGGCAACACTTGGTCAGTTTGGTGAGAGCCAAGATTGGGGAAACAAACACATTCCGCAGAACCCCGTGATTCAAGCCATACCAAAAGCTACAGAAGTGGAAACTCCCACTGGTAGTCCACGACACGGACTGGGATCCGTGGGGGAAATAGGTCCTTTTTTTGGGGGATGGGGATGGGGGGGGCGGAGGAATCGCATGAGTTCCGTCTCTTCTTGGCTCTGGAAAACTTGGTCTGGGGTAAGGGAAGCCCGAGAAAAGAAGAAGACCACACACGAAATCGGCGTTCCATTTGACGGGCTGAACGTGCCACCCCGCAAAATGGTGTCCCTTACTTTAGTTGGGGGAAGGCTTCGCCCCAGGACGGTTTTTGGACAAGTCTGGTCGTTGGGTGCTGGTACTTGCAACTCCGAAATCATTGGCTAAAGAACCTACAACACAGCCACGGGTTGTGGGCGCCAGGATGTAAAGATCAGGATCGGCCACCCATGGCGAGCGCATCTTGGAACCAAGCATTGTCATGATAAGAAAAGACTGTGTGTGCTTCTTCAACCCCTACCACCTCTTTTCCGGACCCCCCATTCACCCAATTCCTGATTTCCATGCTTGCCACAAGTTGTCTTTCAGGCCTCAATTGGGAGTTGGTATTTGGGGTCTGCTTCAAAATGGTGGGAGCTTCCATTCGAAGGGATTGGGCTTCCCGTTGGGGGTTGCCACGTGCACAGGGAAACCCCGAGCCACAACAAAGAACCACATCAGACGTGTTTTGCTTTTCCGACAGGGTTCCCTATACGCATATTTGCCTCTAGGTTCCTGCGTGCTTGCTTTCCTTGGTTGCCTACATCATGGTCTACTGGGCGAGCCGAATTCAAGACTCCGATTTGGTGAGTCAGGGTGTCAGGTTGCTGGCCGGGGGCGGCGCGAGCGGCCGACCGCTGATCTCCGAACTCAACTCGGCGAAGAACGCGCGAGTGCTGTCATTGCTCATAAGAGCGAACGCTCATGGCTGCACGACTGGACTTGACGCTGTGCACTCCTTGCGCCGAAACAGAAGCTGGAAGCTGGGAGCTTCGAGCACCCTCCAAAGTCAGGTGAAACAACCAAAAGCTGTGCCCAAAAAGCCCCACCGGTCGGGGGTCAAAAACGAAGGTTCCGGGAAAGCCTGTTTTTCAGCCTGAATTTGAGGAGTCAAAATAGGGATGTTGACCCCAAAAAAGCGCAACAGTGTTCCCTTCAGTTTCCCTTTCCAATCTGAAAAGGGTACCAATCGCCGCAAAAAAAACACAAGTTTCTGTCCCAACTCATGA